TGTGTTTCCAAATACTGACTATTCATGCAAAACCCTGACACAACTGAGTGACAAGGTAAATGATAATAATTACCTAAAACTATGGTAAGCAGAGACATACAAAACAGTCAAAATAACAGAAAATTAAACAAGGACGTCAGTTGTTCTTTTAAATTGACTTGGTACTTAATTTAGTAGATACAAATCATTAATTTACTACGGCAAGGTTAGGTGCTTGTTCCAGTTTTTGTGGTCTAATGTGTTTGTGATGTGTTCAATGTATGCTGATAAAGAGTAGGTGTAGATAATGCAATTAATTATAATAGTACATTACATCAAATGCTTTGACTGATTATTACTTGCAGTTTTACCTTGCTCAATGCGGGTTTTTTTATGGCATAAGCCGGTAAACGAGCAGACGGATCACCTGATGGTAAGCAATCGGCGTCGCCCATGGACACCTGGAACACCAGAGGCGTTACAAGTGCGTTATCGGCCTTTTGGGGATTAGGATTTTAAGGATCGTTGGGATTCAGGGATTGGGGAGATTGGGGAAGGGGAGGGTAATTGGGCTTCCGGTAACCTCACTCACACGACGAAACACAACGCAAGCGTTGCTTCACGTCGGTTTTCTGTGAGGCCGTGGTATCACTCCGGTCGAGCCGGCCCATTCGTGCCGAAGCATGGCTCTCCCACACTTATGTCGGGTCGGTGTATTTTCGAGTGACGAATCTATTGCCCAACAGTTGTGTTTTAAACATCTCTTCGCCTTTTAAATCTACAACTGACCAGTGTTATAGTAGTATCAATTTACATATTAGCACAGCAATGCACTTAAATAGACTCTTTTGCAAAATCCTTCCATTCGCCATTGATATCGTTACTAGTTTCTTTTCTTTCAAAGAGCACCTTCTTTAACATTAAACAAATGTTATATTATGCTTGATAACTTCGAGTTCTTTGCCTAAAACAATCAGTTACAACACGATACAAAACAAATCCAAACATTTAAATGCTGTATTTTATTTAATAGTCGCATAATAACCATCATTTAGAATATGGCACACAATTTTGTAGGCTCTGATACCGTCGTGCATCAATTACGTCGTTTACCACTCATGGTCTCTATAAAATTATCTATGTGCTACGTGATTCTTTAGTAATTACCCACCTATCATGGAATAACCATTTTAAAATACACAGATGTATAGGGAATGTATGTACATCGATCAAACGGTTCTTGCGGCCGTTTTGAGGTCACGCCGGATGAATAATGCGCTGGCCACATTAACGGTCATTATATGCAAATAATATTACACACATTAGTCTCATGTACTCCATACCCGTTTACTATAAGTGGGCTGATACATTCATATTGCTGGCGCTTTTCTCAAAAACATGACGATATTTTATTCTTCAATAATAGAATACAACTCGTACATAATCGAAGTATAAACCTGTAATCGCACACAGCGCTGAAAGTCACTCTCACCTAATGAAGCATGACAATTAACTCCTGAAAAACTTGAATTCGCATCCGATTGGATAAAATTAATCAATGGCAGACCTGTGCCGTCAATGGAATGGATATTTTATGTTCCCGTGGGCGAAGAGTGGGCTCCAATTTGTCCGCAGTTTTTTAATTAGTATGGATGTGAGAGAAAACGAATTGGATTTATGCTTGCGACCGACGTGCGCTGTGCTGTGATTATTTGCGTGGTGCAATATAAAAAGCAGAAAAAAGGCTAATATTTTATAGGTTCGTTAAAACGCGGCTCATTAGTGCAGAATTAATATTACTGGCGTAGTTGTTTGTCATTAGTTCAGCTGGGAATTAAAATTAATTGGCATTTTTGAATGGGCTTCTTAATTTGGATTTTAATTTGGCCACATCATTAGGTGGATTATTTGGCTTCATACGTGACCTTAGTGTGCGGTAGATTAAGACGTTACGTCACGTGTTTGGGTCCCGCGTGCACGGCGCCGCACTCCGCCGCCGCCGGTAGGGAGCACCCGACGCCCGGCGCCCGGTGCGCGGTGTAGGGTCGGCCTGGGGTGCCGCTGCAGCATCTTCCGCCCCGCTCCCGGCTCTAATTAGGCTCACATTCTCATTCCGTTTTCGCGTTTAATTTTGCTGGCGGTTTCGCCTTAATTACATTATTCGCGGCGTGCGGGCACCCGGCTGTTCTTGGGAAACCCTGCAGTTAAAACAAGTGACCGATACGTTTACTTACAGTACCCTTTTTAGATACCAATTTTTGTTAGTTTACCCACTTATTATTTTTTTAGACTGTGTTTTTACATTTTTGTTACAAATCGCTTTGTTCCGCTACTTTTGTCACTTCACAATGATAAGTATGATTAATAACCTCTATGGTTTACACGTTGAACTGTTTGTGTTTGTCATTGTATTATCTATTTTTTGGGAAATCAACGAAAAAAAGAAATCTGTCGCATCATCACGTTTATTGTAGCTGACAAATGTTTAAAAAAGTAGACGTACGATGGAAAGCGCGGAAATAAATATTCACTAACAAGATGACTTACACTTTCGTTTGGAACCTGCAGCTCATCGCGGTAATTGAAAAAAAATCACTTAACAGGTAAATAGAGGGGCTCCGAGGAGGCTCATCGCACCGCTTTGTTGTCGGGCGGTTGCTAATAAGATTTTTAAACGGCAACAAAGTATCCAATCAATGGGGCTTGAATAATGAAAACGGCACCTGCCAAGTTCTCAGCCCACCCCCGCCAACCTAAACACGCACAACGTTCCCCAAATAAAACATATTTTAAACCTTAACCCTGACAACAATAAGATTCATTTCAGTAAAAAACCAGAACGTTTAAATTCAAATAGACATAAGTTCGAGTAATTATGCACAATTGTTTCGTGTTCCAAAAACAGGCATTTGTTTTTATTTATGAACAGGTATTAGGCAGTCAGAGTCCATGACAATTTATTATCTATTTATTATTTAAAAAAAGAATAAAGAACTCATTAAAAATCTGATACCAATTCTGCAACAAAACAACTTAATGAAATGCCACTAAACGCACGTAGTCTGTAATTTGATTCAATGTCATTGGTGGAAGCCCGAAGCAGAATGATACCAATTAATATGTATTTTGAATAAATTATAAATAATATAATCAATATATGCAATTAACAGTCACAAATCGTAAACAAATATCCGATACTGAATATTTATGACGTCCATAAAGTATAATAATCATTATGAACTAATTTCTAATATCGTATTATGAAGATTTATTACCATGTCTAGTCATTATCTTGGTCTAATTAATAAAAAAATAATTGATACAGGTCGTTGCAAAAACTTGGTATTGAAGATGACTCAAAATCTATCCAAGTAGATATAAGTACGGGATATGATTATTATGTAGGTATATTTAAAAATATATAAACACCATATTTAAACGACAGAAGTAGGTAGATAAATACAGTCTGGATACGTCAGTATCATTTAATTTTTGGTAATATCATAATTTAATAATCAAAACAAATATGTTCGTTAAATCCATTTTTCATTTAGCAAGACGGATTAAGACGGTAACTAATTAGTACTAATGACTACTCAACAACGCAGCAATGATGCCTTGAGAATAAATTATTTATTATAAGAAAAACATTTATGAAGCATAACAGTTTCCTAGTAAAATAGGAAGTGAAACACGCAATGTTCGATTAAGAGCTCAAGTCCTCAATTCGAATGCCTAATGCGTTGCAGAATTAACTAAACAAAGACATTAATACCCTCGGATCGTAGTTCGGGGCGATTTAACGAAGTGCGATAGTTGCGCACGCGACGCCGCTCATTAGGACTCACGCAACTGCCGCCAGAGCCACCGTACGCCGCCATTCACGCCATACCTCGCTCTTATAGCCTTCATTAGACATGCTCGCCAACAAGTATAATGACTTTCCTCACGCTTCTGCTGATGTTCCATCGTGATCCGTGATGCAACTCCACGCAATACTCCGATCATTGCCAATTGTAATTGAAGTGTACTCTGTTAATTAATCAATATGCGTTTTTCAGTTTCTGATTCGTGGAATCACAACTCCTGATAACACAGTTTATCATGCGCTAAGCGTCGATCCTGACGCTACAAATAAATCTTGACACAGCTACAACCCTTTATCCTGTTGGACACAGAAATTAAGCAAATTACATTCAGCAAAGCAAATCGTTCCAAAAGAAAGGGCTACTGAAATAATTGTCTACTTTACTCTCAGAGAAATAGAATTACAATCTAAATTAATTACGCTTTTAAAGCGTCCGTTATTCTTAATTAGTTTCTGCACCGCAGCGGAAACTCCCGCGCCCGACTCGCGCTCTCTTAATGAAGGGTAGTTTCAAATCAGTGCGTTTGATCAACTCTGTGCAGTCTTAATTACGGCACCCGTTCCGCGCGGGACAATCCGGTTATTTATGACTACATAAGCTTGATTATTCTTTAATGAATACTTGTTTTAAAACGTTTAATTAAGTTTTATGGCGACAGGGCTGCTCAGACGGCACGGGCGTCCCGCCGCTCCGCCGGCCGCGAGCTAATTGGATCGGGTTGACGCACTCCCCGCGCCGCGACCCGCGCTAACCATCCCTCTCCCCGCAACCCGCACCCTCACCCCGCTCCTAATTGTATGAAATTGCTAATTGGAAAATTTTATAAACGCGGCCGCCCGCAGGCCTACGCCAGAATCCACGGCGCCCTGACCAAGGGCTGCCAAGAAAAATTAAAACAACGGGTCAACATCTCGAGGAGGTCAAAGGGAATTTGCTCTTCGAGCCTAACAGTTTAACTTCAAAACAAAATTCAGAATTTTCTACACGTTTAGCTTCGGCTTTCGCACCCATCCCCATTATCTGACTATTGTTTTTAGGTTCAATGATGGTTAATCTAACCAGTTCTATTTTTGTCCGCAGGGCGTGTAGTTGTGGTGGTCGGAGCGAGCGGTTCCCGCTCCAACCGTCAAGCTGGCAGCGAGTGCGTTGAGCATGAACCCGCACTACCACGGGTACGCGGAGCTCAGCTCGCCACACCCGCCCTCGCCGGAGGCGGCTTTCGCTGCCAACGGCCACGACTACCCTCACAACAACAACAACCCAGCGCTAAAAGAATGCGCGGGTTGCAACGGCAAGATAGTGGAAAGGTTCCTCCTACACGCCCTCGATAGATACTGGCACCACGGCTGCCTCAAATGTGCCTGCTGCGGGCAGGCTCTCGCGGACATGGGCCGCTCCTTCTACTTCAAAGGCGGAATGATATTATGCAAAAGCGATTACACAAGGTGAGTCTGATTTGTTCTTCTTAATCTAATTATTTTCAACTCCACCAAACGAAACGAACAGGACTAATTGGTACCTTTTATGGTTCGGTATTTGAAGTGTTCCACTCGCATCGATTTTTCCCATTGATCATCAATATAAGGTTTAGTTTTTAGCCCATCATCTGACGATGACAATGGCGTGTCTGTCAAACGCATCGTCTCCAAAAAAGTATACCGAGAAAGCCGCGGGCGCATTGTTATGAAAATGCTTCGAACCGTTGTGTTTTCTACCTGGGCGAGGAGCAAAAAGTAGACAGTTTTGCACACAAGCACGGATCGACGGCGTCTCGCGGACCAACTAAATTGGTCTCGTTAAAGAACGCTAAGGACTAATTTAAGATGTAAGCAACAAAGTTTTTATTTAAGGGGCCACACTAATCAGGCTTCTGTGACAGAGTACCGCGACTGTTAGCTACATAACGCTGCGGCTATATCTACGAATATGGAAATTTTATGTGTCTTTGCGAACTAATGAATATCCATAGCCGTTTCTGCGACGTTGTTGATAAGTACATTGTTTACGTATGTTTCAGTCCTTGTAATCAAAGAATAAGGACACTACCTACACAATATATAGCAATGTAGGACAATAAATCCCTTAAGTTGTATAGTAATTATGTCCCTCGATTTCCATTTAGTTTTATGCATATAGCCATAATCTTAATCGATGTGGAATTACGTACAATCACTTGTGTATAATTACTGTAAATGTTAGTAATTGTTTACTTCGTTAAAATAACTAACTACATGTCTCTTTTTATGTGTTGATAATTGTAATGTTCATACTTGAAGTTCCTAGCTAATGTAGGTACTTTAAAATTATTTATTACCTTACCGCACATGAATAACAATTAAGTAAAACTAATAAAACAAAGATTATAGAAATATAATTCTCGATTTAATTACTGGCCACAAGCTATTTTGTTTTAACTAGCCGTATCTGTATTTATTTCAATACATAAAAATAAAAATTATAGACCTCAACTTGCGACCAAAATAATTATGTAGTAATTCTAGATTTTATTGAAAGTCTTAATCAGCAGAGTATTAGAAAGTTGAACAGAAATAGTTACAAATTGTATTTTGACCGCTCAGAAGTGACTGGTCTCGTAGAAGATGCGGGCGGTGTGCGGCGCGGGCGCAGCCTCGCACGTGGACCGCAGCTGTCCGGGTCTGCGCGTTAATTAGCTAAACGCATGCCATTCCATTCAATTATTTTACTTCATTACGGCTATAGACGTGCCACATTTTGTAACATTTTTTGTCGTCAACTTTACTTTTGATCTTTTTAAGCTCAGAGTCACATCTTTTCGAGTAATTTGTCACTTGCCGACGCCTTGAGTTATCACAGACGCCTATAATATCTCGTTACGCTACTTAGCCCCCTTCTATTTGTCGTTCATATAAATTCGTTTTACACTGATTTCCCTTGTTTACCGGCGGTTGTGAGTCAAACTAGAGCGAAGAGTGGGCCGACCGCGGCGCGGGTCGTGCGTCGTAGATTCGATAAAGCTCGTCTCACAGTTGACAGAGACGGCGCGGCCTAACGAGCGGGGCTGGGGACAGGTGAGGGGCCTCGGAGGGGGATGAAGAAGTGCGGTTCCGTGCATGTCTCTGCTGATTGACCCGCGTCACTCGGCAAACAACAACTAACGAGTCGGCCCCGCGCCTCCAGGTACGGTAATTCGCTCGAATCGCTCCCGCGGCGGTCGCGCGCCGACTTTACTTACACGCCTTCACTGATTGAGACTCCTTAACAAAATTAACGCTCTCGCACGCAAACAACTGGCGCGTTTATCCGCCTCCTTTTGTCCCGATATGATGGATTGCGGTCTCGCTCCACAAAGACGCTGATGATGTTACGTGCAACTGATTACTGTGTACGAACGAATTAGCCGGCGAGGTGTTACGCCTCGTGTGTGCGACTATAAAAGCCTCGGAAGCGTTACATCAACATTAAGCTCGCTTAATTCGAATTTTATAATGATTTATTGCGCGCAGGCATTGTTTGAATGAAGAGATTATGTTTCATTTGTGTAGGCAATAAGCGCTACATAAGGCGGTCGTACTGCGGTAGGTGCTACAGAATTCCTTGATTGTGTACAAATGAACCAAATTCAGTGGGGATTTCTCGGCGTCAATCGGACCAAATTATTGGAGCCAGTCAGCAATCAGGAACCTGTCGTAGTGTTGCACCTCTAGTTTCGAACATGACGGGTTGCCAAAGCGGACTCACTGCTGTTTAGAGCTTTTTCTCATATATGCGTATATGACAATGGTTAATAGAAGAATAGAATGATATTCTCGATTCAAATTATAATTAAAAAAACAATCGGGAATGTGGGATAACAACCAGTATCAAATATCAACAAAATAGTATTTTATCGAAAACGTAAAATTCAACGGAGCAGTGTAGACTGTACGCGTCTGTTTGAGTTGTATTTGAATAGCAACACGCAATCACTTCATCAGCCCAGTAACCTGGCTGGTACATATAACTGACCTACATACACGTCGCGTCCGCAAGACGTAGACACATCGTCTTACCCCATACTGACAAAAATTTTCAATTGATTTTAGACTTTATGACAAAAGAGATTAAGTTGGAAATGCGTTAAAGATTTTCTGCAAGTTAACGATAGGTTGATATGCTGTCATCTGCGAAATTGCTTCAATAGAATTTGAATTTTATTTCTAAAGGATAAGGTTGCTAATGTTTTGGAAAAATTTGAGTTTTATACAGCTTTTTCAGGTATACATAGATGTAGATTCCCGTAGGACTAAGACACGACTAGAAAAAGGAGACCTGCAAAGTGAGTCTTTAGAATATCTACATTGAAAAAAGGTCCCATTAAACAAATAACATACATTTTGATCATACCAAAGCTAATAGAATAGTTAAAGGGCGATAACATTAACATACGCCAATTATGTCACCTCTTACATCCACACCATCGTCTTTTCTATTCTATTCTATGTGACTGAAGCAAGGAGTCGACGGGACGTGAGAGTGCGGCACGTCCACGTTGAAAGCAGGTTCGTTAGCCGTGCGGGCGCCGTCAATCAAGGCAATTGGTGCTCAATCGGCAATCAGCCACCCGCCCGCCTAACGAGACCCCCTCTAAAATACCAACTTCTTACCATTCTTAGTAACACTTTAGTTAACTAACGTCCTTTGCGAAATGTACTCGGGTAGCTGGTGTGTTTGTAGGTATGAGGATTTTATGTTTTGGGTACATTTTTTTATAAATATCATCGAGTTTGCCTCGTTGCCCGAGTGGTCGCAAGTGCGACTGCCAGGCAAGTGGTCTAGGGTTCAATTCCCGGGTCTGGCAAAGCATTACTGGGTTTTTAAAAAAAAATCTCAGTAGTAGCACGGAGTCTGGAATTGTGCCCGGTATATGGCAATAGGCTCACTCCCTATTACATGGGACTGATAATATAAATAGTGAAAAGTGGGTGTTACTTCTGTGTGCACCTCTGCCTACCCCTTCGGGGATAAAAGGCGTGATGTTATGTTATGTTTATGTCATGGAGTTTCGTTATTAACAGAAATGTGCATTTAAGCTAATGTGGCACACAATTTTCACTAGTTCTGTAATGAGTTCAATGTCCAAGCCCATTGGGTGACGAACTTATTACCGTACCGTGGGGCCATTCTCTAATAACTGACAAAATATCTCAACATTACAACCGTACTCGAGACCGCTAGCCCAGCAATCACACTTGCCCAAATTTATCAGGAAATAATAAAGTCTTTAATTAAAATAAAACAACAATTTAATTTTACTTCCTTTACCTTTAAGTTCATGAACATGTATTGTGTCATCATCACACATTCTCCACTTTTATTTGCTTGTCTGAAGACAATTTGTCATCGCCAATCAGCAGTAGGCTGTATCTCGAAGGGACCTCGTTAGCTGGACCGGCTGCATCACTAACAAGATCCCTTTATACCAACATCTTCACAGCCCTTAGTTAAAGCTAACAACTTTTTAAACTCCACTGTCATAATGATTTAAGGCTAGGTTTAATTGGAGTGAAGTTTATACGGAGTTGTATTCGTTTTTGTACGTATTGTTTTATATTATGAACTATTATGGACAAAATATTTGACATGTTATGTTTGAATAAAAACTAGACAAATCTTTTTTTTTATTGAATCCCAAAAAACAAAGGCGATAATCAATAAAGTTAAAAAACAAAGAGTATATCTGTTACATTTCTTCACCGATCACTTGCCTCGTTTAAACTCGAAGGGGAGTCGAACATTTCACCGCGATAACATCAGCGAATATATTTATTGCATCACGTCGAAATGTATATTTATTAAAACGTGTGTCCAGGGCGGGCGGGACGTCCAATTTCGGTGCCCGCTGCTCGTTAACTCGCAAAAGACGCACGGTTTAATTGCAACCGCTTTACCCTCTAATGAGGCTGAGTATACCATAGCCCGGTTCTTGCAAATTGACATTGTACGTAAATTGATGTCGCCAAAGCCTGTCGCCAAATGATGTTGTTGGTGTTAATTAAAAATTGCGCTTCTATTAATTATGGAGTCATTATTTTGGATTTATGTGGGTGGTAGAATAGTTGTAGATTTGTGTTGGATTGAGCACTTTATTGCTTCGTGAATAGAGATTAGAATCAGACTTATTTCGATTGTGAGAGACAATTGTTATTAAGATTTATTTCTCTATCAAATGGATGTTATTTCTAGTTCAGGAAGATATATCGATACAAAATTTGGAACAGCCATTTTATACAGCTGTTTGTGACGCTGAAAACAAGGTTACCCTTGTTTCTCGTACATTCGATGCAGAAGGTTTAAAGTGAACTTCTTGCGAGAGAACCGCCCGAAGTCATGGTTGATCTATTTAAAAGGCAGAGACCGGATAGACGCGATTGGATTAGGCCGTCGGCGCATCTCCGATTAATTTCGTTTGTCTCTTTGTCCGTCC